GGGCTCAGGCTCGGCCTCGGCCTCCGGACTCGGGTTCAGTTTTGTGCGTCCTGGGCCAACTGTCCCCGCACCGACCCCTGCACCCTTGGCGCTCTTACGAACTTGAGGACCGGGCTGTTGTCTCGCAGGACAAGCTCAGGCACTCGGTCAACTGGGCTGTTCCGCCTTCACCCACGCCTGCTAGTGGGAGGTGCGTGGCGCCCTGGGAGCAGGCACCGGCTGGATTGCCCTTGTGCTCAGCCGGGTCACTCTCGCGGGACAAGGGCTGTCACAGTTGCCTGAAAGCAGGACCATATCTCTGCTCGGGACGGCTTGGACCTAGAGCAGCAGTACCCCCGGGTGCACGTGACCTGCGTAGTAGAAATGGAATGCAAGCGTAGACCTGGTGACACCTAGCCAACGGAAACCCCAGCACTAGGACCTTCACCCTTAAACAAGGGTCTAAGGAAGAGAAGGAGAGGAGGTTCCAGGGGCCAGTGTCAGATTTCCAAGTTCAAGTGAACCAGATGAGTTCTGATTTCATCGGGGATGGTTTTTGTTTCGTTTTTTTAGATTTTCCTTCCTTCTTTCATTCCTTTTTTTTCATTCGCGTTCTTTATTTCTTTCTTTTCTTAGAATTATCTCACTCAGCCTCACCTATTTATTTACCTATCTCAATTTGACCGGAAAGGGACAGAGCAAGAGAAGGAAAGTGAGAAAGCAAGTCGCCAGATCCAGGACTGAATGCTGTCAACCATTGTGGGAATCCAGCACCCGCCACCACCATGCCACCTGCAGGCCCCACATGGGGGATGTTCAGTCTAGGCCAAGCAATGGGGATTTCTCTCCATTCCACTTTTTTAGTGACTGAAAGACAGGCTAGCAGGTGGCATAGTGGTTAAGGCACTAGACTTTCACATGGCCAACCATAATCCGAAACCCAACCTGGCAGCTTGACACTCATGCGTGCCTGCATACCTAAAATCAATCCCAAGAGAAAATCCCAAGAATGAAGGAGATCGGACTGTGGTATGGGCATCCCCTCTAGGGGTAATATCTCGCTTTCTGTCTCTGGGCTAGGGTTAGGGTTCGGGTTCTGGTGACAGGAGTGTTAGGGTTAAATTTAGGTTTAGGGCGAGGGGTAAAGGTGAGGGTTAGGGTTAGGATTAGGGTCCAGGTTAGGCTTCAATCGGCGTGAAGGGTGACTGTTAAGTTTAGGGGGGAGGGTTATGGTGAGGTTTATGGTAGGGTTAGGGGGAGAGTTAGATTGAAGGTTAGGTTAGGGGTGAGTGTCAGGGTCAGGGTTGTGGTTTGGGTTAGGGTCGGGTTCAGGGTCAGGGTTAGGGTTGAGGTTTAGGGTTAGGGGCTAGGGTTAGGGTTACGGTTCGGGTTACGGTAGGGAGAGTGTTATGGTTAGTTTAGGGTCAGGGCTAGGGTTAGGGATGCGGGTTCTGGGTAGTTTTCCGGTTAGGTTGACGGTTTTGGTTACCGTTACGATTAGGGTTAGGCATTAGGGTTTGGTTTCGGCGTTAGGCATAGAGTTAGAGTTGGTCTTACGGTAGGATTACGGTTAGGTAGCGATTTAGGTTTAGGGGTAGGGTCAGGGGTGAGGACTGGGCCTAGGGTTCGGGTTTGGGCGACAGTTTACATCAGTGATATGGTTAGTCCAGGAGTTAGGGTTAGGTTCAGTGGTTAGGGCTAGGATTCGGGTTCTGGTGACAGGAGAGGGAGTGTTAGGGTTAAATTTCGGGTTAGGGCGAGGGGTGAGGGTTTGGGTCCGGGCTAGACTTCAGTCAGGGTGAAGGGTGACCGTTAGGTTTAGGGGTAAGGGTTAGGGTTGGGTGATAGGGTCAGGGTTAGGGTGAGGGTTACGGTAGGGCTACGGGTAGAGTTAGATTGAGGGTTAGGGTTAGGGGTGAGTGTTAGGGTCAGGCTTGGGGTTTGGGTTAGAGTCGGGGTCAGGGTTAGGGGTAAGTTTTAGGGTTAGGGGCTAGGGTTACGGTTCGAGTTACGGTAGGGTGAGTGTTATGGATAGTGCTAGGGTTTGGGTTAGGGTTTGAGTTTAGGGATAGTGTTAGGGTTAGGGTTAGGGTTAGAGTTTAGTTACGGTTAGGTTTAGGCGTTGGGGTTTGGTTTTAGCATTAGGCTTAGAGTTAGGGTTAGGCTTACGGTAGGGTTATGGTTAGGGGGCGATTTAGGTTTAGGAGTCGGGTCAGGGGTGAGGATTAGGCCGGGAATTCTATTTTGGGCGATGGTTTCGGTTAGTGTTACGGTTAGGGCCATGAGGTAGTGTTTGGTTGAGTGCTTAAGGCTAGGGTTAGGGTTCGGGTTCTGGTGACAGGAGGAAGAGTGTTAGGGATAAATTTCAGTTTAGGGCAAGGGGTAGGGGTGAGGGTTAGGGTTTTTGTTAGGGTCCCGGCTAGACTTCAGTCGGGGTGAATGGGGACTCTTAGGTTTAGGGGTCAGGGTTAGGGTTGGGCGATAGGGTCAGGGTCAGGGTGAGTGTTACGGTAGGGCTAGGGGTAGGGTTAGATTGAGGGTTAGGGTTAGGGGTGACTGTTAGGGTCACAGTTGGGGAAGGCTTAGCGTTTGCCTTTGGGTTGGGGTCAGAGTCAGAATTAGGGGTGTGGCTTAGGGTAGGGGCTAGGGTTAGGTTACGATTCGGGTTACGGGAGGGGGGGGGGTATGGTTAGAATAAAGGTCAGGGCCAGTGTTAGGAGTGAGGGAGAGGGTTAGTTTTCTGGTTAAGTTGACGGTTTTGGTTAGTGTTACGGTTAGGGTTAGGCGTTGATGTTCGGTTTCTGCGTTAGAGTTAGGGTTAGGCTTACGGTAGGGTTACGATTAGGGTGCGATTTAGGTTTAGGAGTAGGGTCAGGGGTGAGGATTAGGCCTAGGGTTCGGGTTTGGATGACGGTTTTGGTTAGCACATGTACCCTATAGCAAATATATCAATCAATAAATAAACCCCAGATTTTAATAACTTGAGAGAAATATGTTTGGGGCCAGCAGGTGGCATGAAGGTTTAGGTAGTTGTGCCTCCCCACCCCCACCCCATTTCTCACTTTCCCTTTCTCTGTCTCTGTCCTGGGAGAGAGTCATGCTATAGCAATACTAAAATATATATATATATTTAAATCAATATCTTTTTTACACTTTGCCACAGAACATGTGTACTCGTCTGAGAGATAAAGAGACAGAGAGAAAGGGAGAAAACAGCCCTCCAACAGGGCATGCCTCAGTCCCTTCTCTATTTCTCCATCCCACTGGGATTTTAGGCACCTGCACACACTGCCTGGCTTATTTTTCAAGCCCCCCTGGGCCAAGATTCAAACTGCTGGTGGTCCATTTGGGATCTGGCCCCTTTAACCACATGTGGATTCCCACATGGCTGACCACTGTTCTAATCCAGGGCCTGACAGCTGGCTTTCTCACTTTTCCTTTCTTTATTCTCTCTCTCTGTCTTTCTCTGGTTAAAATAAAGAAATAATAATAACAAATGGAATTAAATAAATATTTTGACAATTTATAAAAGAATTATTTTTTAAATTTTATTTATTCATCCATTTATTTTTAATTTGACTAGAAAGATAGGGTAGGGGGAGTAAGAAAACATGCCACCAGGTCCAGGACTTGAACCATGGTTGACCATGTGGGACTGTTCAGTGCCTTAACCACCACATCACCTGCTGGTCCCTAATAAATAATTATTTAAGAAAAAATAATTATTTAAAAAAAGAAAATGGAGAAACTAAAAATGAGGAGAGTCCACCCTCTGATGAAACAGGTGAAAAAGAAGTCAAGTCTGAGTAATGTCATAACCCATTAGGTATATTCTTATCACCTTTTTTGTAAATGCACATTTTTTGGTAGCTCTAGAAACATTTTTAAGAAGGAAGGGATCCCACCTCATCCCATTTTTAAAGCGTAAATGCTTTTTTCATTATTATTACTATTAGGTAAAGTCATTTACTGATTGCTTATTTTTCAGTATAACCAGAAAATAGTGGGATATTGACTTATAGGAGGCTTTGACTATCTTATTTATTTATTTATAGAGAGGTTTTTGCTATAGGGCGCGTGCGCTTGCCAAAAAGACAGAGAGAGACAGAGAGGCAGAAAGCGAGAAATCACCCCCCAGGGGGGATGGCCATGCTGCAGTCCTTTCTCCTCCATTCTCCTCTCGGGATCTTGGGCACGCATGCACATGCACCCAGCGTGAGTTTAAGCCACCGGGTCTGGGATTCGAACCATGGTCAGCTACATGGGGATTCAGCGACATATCCATTACACTAACTGCTGGTCCGGAGGCTTTGGCTATCTTGCATGTCTGCTTATCATTCCATAGGTCAGAGTGGGTGCGTAGTTTTTTTTTTTTTTTTAATATTTATGTATTTAATTCCATTTACTATTATTTTAAAACTTTTTAAAATTTATTCATTTAATTTTACTTATTTATTCATTTATTTTCATTAGACCAGAGAGAGACACAGAGAGAGAGAGAGCCCAAAAGTGAGAAAGCAAGCCACCAGGTCTGGTACTCACCGTGGTCAGTCATGTGGGTGTGCCCCACCGCTGTGGTCAGCCATGTCTA